CCTCGAACACCTGGAAATATACCCATATCTGGCACACGTCCGGTCCGTAGTATTTGTTGAAAACATATTTGCCCCGCTCGGTGGTCATCATATCGGAACCACCCGGGTTCTCCACGTAATTCACCGGGCACCTTAAGTTGGTAATTGACTCTTTTTGACCACCCGGTTGCTGTGTGCTAGGTACTTCCTTATCATCTATTTAATAAGGATTGCATAATTTTAATATAATATTGTTATAAGAATTTGTATTTATTATAATTAATTAGTTATTTTTACGGTACCCTAGTTACTTACTTGAAAATATATTGTAAAATTAATTATGTTTACAATGATTATAATACATTATTATGTAAGTAACAGTAAATGATTACGTACTGACGCAACACACGACTTTTTTATTGCCAAACTTGTGCCTACCGGCCCTCCAATTGTGATCCCATGAGCCCCCGCACGCCCGGCACTGGTGGTCCTCCATAAGAGCCCCCCATTGACCGAACGAATCGCAGTAATAGTCGGGGTTTTGGTCGAAAAAATGCCTTTTATAGTCGCTTTCTTTCACTCGCAATAGTGTGCCTATGGGTGAGAGGACATAAATTTTAAATAGCTTGGTAACATTGTAAAAATTATGTGTATACGGTAAATATATTTTTACGACTTTATTAATTTTAAAATAATAATAGAAAATATTTTAGACTGTAATAGAAAATCATATCAATTTTAAACTAAGTTAATACTGTTATAATTAATTTTACATTGGTGCCCGTTACCTGAAACATTGTTTTATCTATTTAAATTATTTCGTGTTAAGTTTGTAATAATTTATTTTATAAATGAATATTTTAATGTATATTAATAATTTTATGTTCAGTGTATAAAAAAAGTTTTATCGTATGAACTTTTGAAATATTAATAATTAAAATGACAAAATATAATAATTACCTCCAGCGTCGATAAAATTGACAACATAAGCAATTAATACAAGTATAATGCAAAATACATTATTTGCATTAGTACGGCAATTCATGCCCACTGCGCCCACAGGTATATAAGTGCAGTAATACGGTATATAATTTTTAAAAACTAACTGTCCGTTTCAATCTATACAGCGATCGAGTTGTGGCACTTTTGCTTGACATGTATTGACTTCACGCTATTATAATCGCATTTACATACAATTTGCGTTTGATTTTGTATTTTAGATACAAAAAAGTTGGGAAACTATTTGCAATTTCCATTGAGTGGGCCGTAATAGTATTGTAAACATTAAGACATATAGTGTATGCTAGTTAAAATAAACTTTATAAAATATATTTTTTATATTAAGTATGGTGGTGATTTTTTAAATTAAAATTCTTTAAGCTTAATTAATTAAATATATTGATAATAAATTGGTGAATGAATTTAAAAATAAACAAGTTGCTTGTTATAAACAATTAATTATACAAGTGTACATATTAATGAGTATTTATTGTGCTATAATAATTTATAATAAATGAATAAAAATTTAATTGATTTTAATTTTTAATTCATGTTTAATAGGCTATCATTAAGCAAAGTATAATATTTTATATAAAAAATAAATTTTGTATTTTTGAAAGGTATTCACAAAAATTTTGTTTCAATACTATTTTTAAATCAGTTTACGTGACATTTATAATGAGACTGTAATTTAAATATAAAAAGTTTTTTTTGCATTTTTATAAGTTTTTTGAATAATCATTTCGATTCATTCATTGAAATATAAATTTTTAAAAATTACTTTTAAAACCCATATAAAGTTAAAACTTTTTAAAATCATATTTTAATGATTTTAAATAAATAAGCATGTAAATAAAAATAAAATCACTTTTTATTACATTTTTTTATTTAATCAAATTGCGTTATAAAATAATAAATATAAAAAACACGTAAAAAATAAATAACACTAATAAATATATAATCATCACATAATTATAGCCATTACAATTAGTTATACAAAAAATGAGCAAGCAAGCAACACCAACAAATAAAATCCTTATTAACTAAATCCCAGCGAGCGAAAAAATAAATTTGATAAGGCACCTAGTACATAATGTTTACACTTAGTCATAGTACGATCCATCACCATCACCGCCGCCATGTTCATAACCGCTATCGTGGTCATCATGACCATGGTCACTGTCCAGATGGTGTCCGTGACTGTAGTGCGAACCATGACCGAGGTCACCAATGCTATAACCACCAAGATCCCCGTGCCCGTTACCCCCGTAGCCACCGTGATCATCGTTGTCATAATCACCACCATATCCACCACCGCCATGTCCACCACCACCATGGCCGCCCTTATGAGACTTATGGTACTTGGTCTCTTTGTGGTGACCGTACCATTGGGGGCCCTTATGAGACCACTTTTTGTGACCATGCTGCTTATCACCCGAATCACCATGCGTTTTGCCGTAGTCTTTCCAGTCCTAAATGTACAAATTAAATTATTAACTAGTTTAATTTTGTGATAGCTTAATGTTAACTATTGTTAATTAGTTAATAATTTCAGGATAATTATATTTATTTTAAATATTTTAAAATATTTTTTTTGTATGTCACGTATAGTGACCACGATACCTTTTTCTCATCGGCGTGTTTCTGACCATGCTTATTGGCACTACTGTCCTGCCATTTCTTAATGCCGTCCTTATGGCTATTATTAATATAATTAGATATTTAATTTCAAACTACCGTTCCCTTTAAATCATATATTTTTCATTGCAAACCCGTGGCTCTGTTTATAGTAGTGGTCGTTGTGGTGACCCTTTTTGCCGTAGGCGTCCTTATGCCCGTCCGACTTATCCCAGTCCCATGTTTTCACTAATCCGTGTCCCTTATCCTTATGCCACTTCTGGTTGTCAGCCCACTGTGAGAACGAGTTCCCCTTTTTGGCACCATGGGCATCCGACCACTTGTCACCATGCTTATGTAGGCCGTGATTGTTATGATGCTTATCAGCTAGGTAACAAATTATATATTATCAATTATAATGGTAGTAAAAATTAATAAAATATAATAATTTTATTATTGTAGTTGTGTATCGATTTAAAATAATTTTTGAATTAACCATTTGAATGATATGCGACCCAATGGTATAATAAATATATTTTTTTATATTAATTAACTGTTGCTTAAATAAGATATTACAGTTTGTAGATATTTTTACAAATAATATTTTATAATGTTTTAACGTTATATTATAATGTTACTAATTAAATATAATAAACCTTTATTATAAGTTATAATTAATAACATTATTTATTAAAACTAATATTACTTAACACATAAATTTAGCTTGCTTACCCCACTTATCAGCGTGGCCATGTTTCTGGTGACCGTATTTACCCCACTCCTCGCCGTGCTTTTTGTGGTGACCCTTATCCCACTCATCGTGACCATGCTTATAACCACCATCGTACTTTTTAGCGTTATAGCCACCCCTATGGCTACTATCACTGCCACCTCCATGCCCGTGGTATGAGGTGGGGGCGGCACTTAAGTCACCGTCACTGGCGGCTACCTGTCCATCATCGGCACCGGTAGCTGAATACTGGTCCTTTGGTTTCACAATCTCCACTTTCAGCACATCTACCTTATAATGGCCGCCATTAGTATCCGGGACATCGGCACTGGTCACGTGTTTGACGACTAGACTCGCGACAAAACACAATAGAAATGAAAACTTTTTATTCATTATTAGAGAAAACTTTTTGTTATTATTTTTGTTTTTGTTGTTTTCGCTAATGAATGAAAAATAAAAGTTTTTTCACCGCTTTATATATGGACTGAAAAAACGCTTGTTTTCACTATTGGTTTGAAATATTTTTTGTTGTGATTTTTAGGTTTGATATGGAAATTGGTTTATCACATAAATATTTGTAATAATTTGTGTGTTTGCTAATTAATTGTGCATTTTAATAATCAATTAACTTTGAAAACATACAACAAATATTATACATACAAGTAGTGCATTGTTTGTTAACATTAATTGTTATGAATTATAATGTGAACCTGTAGGTGAAAGGGAATGTTAGATAATAATGTTACTATTAGCTTAAAATATTGAAGTAAGCAAGGTGTCTAATTTAATAGTCATAGTACAATAGGGTTTAAGGTTATAAATATTATTTCTATATTAAAACTATTAAATATTTTAAATATAATTAATAATAAATTATTATATTATATTATTAAAAATACTTGATAAAAAGTAATACTTTTTAGTGTTTTTAATTTAATTTAAATAATTAAAAAAAACAAACAGCCTGCGCATATTATACAAGTTTTTGTCCATAACATTACATAACATTTATGCAGACATGTACATACAGTACCTAAAGTATATCAAATACATGTATACCGTATAACAAGTGATGCGTTAAAATGTTTGTACATAATTTGCCGTTTATTATAATCTTAATATTAGTACATAGTACTAATTGTGAGATAAAGTATGTTTGGGTACATAATAAACTTTTTGTTTCATATAAAATAGTTCATAACGAAATGAATTAGTTTTACATAACAATTTCACTATTATGTGTAACAATTAAAAATTTACTTGTATTTCAAGTATATAATATGTATTCAGTAGTAATTGTTTTATTTCAGATAACAATAGAAAGTTTATATAATATATTGTATGAGTGATGAGTGAGAGAGTGAGTGAGAAAGAGAGAGAGAGAGAGAGAGAGAGAGAGAGAGAGACTTAATTGAATTTTACCCCAAAGACACGATTTTCGCTTTCAATTGTGTTATGAAATGTTAAGTTCAAGGGTTTTATGTGTCGATAATATCAGAGTTAACCTTATATTTAAATTATAGCTACAGTAGTACAGTTTAATTGTTTATATATAATATTTTATATTTCATTTCTGGTTTCCTAGAATAATTATAATGAATGTAAAAATTTTCTCTATTTATTACATTAATACAAACTGTAATTTTAATTTTGAAAACAAATAAAGCAATGTTGATGCTCACAAATTTTTACTCTCAATACAGTAAATTACATATTTACAGTACTTATATTTTATGATAGAAATATTTTAACTTTTAATAATACAAACTGTAACTTATATTTAAAGGGATAGCTACAAGTTATAAGTATTGTGTTAATTTATTTAACATTTATTTATAAATGTTATAACTTTTATTTTACCAGTATGCAATCATAAATTAATATTTCATAAATTCTGATCATATTATAAAATTTTATTTTTAACAAAATTTTTTTGACAATCTCTTAAATAAGACCATTCAGTGGACTAGACTTTAAACTAAAATATATGATTGACTTTTCCCATAAAACTTATACTTAATTAAATACGGAAAGGGACAGTATGTCTGTAGGGATATGTATAGGAAAAGGGGTTGATAAGGGAGGGGTGGGGGTGCACTGGGAGTCGAACCCAGATTTCCCGCTTTAAAGCGGGTGTCTTAACCAATTAGACTACACACCAGGGAGTTATAGATATCAACATCCAGGTCAAAGTCTATGTCACCGAAATAGTCGGGGAACTCCAGGGGCCCGGTATTCGGGTCCGGCATAGTGTACACCGTTTGGGGAAAGGGATCATAATTTTCTAGATTCTTGTCAGTAGTCGGAGTCCAGTCGCCGGTGTTATCGGTGGACGAGTGATCGCTGGCGTAGTAATACTGGTAGTTGCTATCATCGACGGCACCGGTAGTATGAGACCAGTCGCTGTTCAAACACTTGATTTTTCTCATTTCCTTCACTTCGCGACTCAGTATATAATCCTTGGGTGCATAATATGCCGGGTGAAATAAGTTATAACAAATTATAAGTTAAGGTTTCAAATTGCGATTAGATATTAGACTTGAGATTTACACTTATAATATGGAAATGCATACAATGTATCATTATTGTACAAGGTATTAATATTTAAATGTGCAAATAAATTTATAAGGTGGGTAAATTTATTGCAAGTTAGTAAGGATTATAGAGTACTTTAAACTATTGTATAATTTATAAGGACTAAAATATGTGCTAGACTTCCAGATTGTCTATGTCATCTAGATAAACAACAAATAGCAAGCATTGTTAATTGTGCAATTAATTTTGTCATTAGTAGTGTTAGTAATATAAAATTTATATTTAATGTAAAATATAATTACTTTTTTCATTCCCTTTTCGTAGCACTTCTTGAGCCGACACTTAATACAGAAAGTTCTGGTCTTGACATTGATTTTGCACTTATTATCCAAAAGGCATTTGTATTGCTTTGCGATGTTTCGTATGTAATTGTAAAGTGTGTTTTAGATAATGAATGTGTCATGATCAGTTACTCATTAAATAGTAGACATAGAATATAACAATCAGTATTGAATTTAATAAACTTTGTACTCGTGATAAGGGGCTAAACACTAGTTTATATGCGATTACTAGTTCACTTTTCTAATAGTTACATGATCAGTATTGTAACTTTTGTCCTGACTAGTAAAATCATACATTTTTTGTGCCTGGTGTTAATTAATTGTAATAGTTAAAGGTGTTAATTTTTTTATTTAGCTATACTTAATATTTAATCATAATTAATTATTCAATATTTAATTATAATGAAACCTAGATAATTGTTTTTATATCTCATGAACTGTATAGTAATATTCTGTGTAAATATAAAAAAGATTAATATTAGCAAGTACATATGACCGAGAAATGACCGAGAACAAACTGTACATTTTCACGTGAACACATCATTTTATATTGATATCGTAATAGTGCGATAACAATTTTAATATAATTATTAAATTTTTAAAAATACTTAATTTCCCAGTACCAAAATATGACTAGTGGAAAGGGTGGTTATTTAAGCATGCCATACTTCAAATAACTTTTTAATACCTTATTTTTGGGGGCAGTCCTACGAAAGAAGGCCTTACACGAGGCGCAGGTTAACACGTCAAAGTTTTTGCCTTGTTGCATTTTTAGTATTAATATATAGTATTTAGTATTTTTAAAAATTATAAATTATTTCTAAAATTTAAAAATATTTACCGATAGCCCGATCGCCGCATATTTTGCACCGTTTTTGCCGGTTTTCAGTATTGCTATTATGGCGCATAATTCCTGGTAATCACTGAGCTAGGTTAATCACAAAGCAAGTTATTAATAAAACAATTGTAATATGAATTGTGTTAAAAATATTATATAATTATTAATAAAAGTGTTATAAAAATAATGATACGTTAGTGGCGTATACAACGCGTGTACCGTTAGTTACAATAAAATGTACAGTAACAATTTATAACACGAGTAATTAGCACACAAAATGTCTTTTTAATAAGTTTTGTTAATGAGACCAAACTACTACCTTAGTTTATTGTATGTACTTGCTTATATACTTTTGTGATAATATTGAGAGTTACCCACAACTACTATATTATCTAGTGGCAAATAACTTTTATATATGGTTGCAAAATAGTAATTTAGTTTCAATTTTGCAGACAATTTTTATCATACTTATAATTTATAAATATAATCCTGTTTTTGTGGTTTATATGTACTTTACAAAGATACATTGTTATTTAATTAAATTAAATATTAACTTAATTATTTTTAATATTTTTAGCGAGTTATATTATAATATACTCTCTAGATTAATTGATACCTAGTAGACTTTATCATTATTGTCTATCGACCAAAAAATGCAAAATATATTATTGTATGTTTTAGCAAACCGTATCGGGATAATTTATTTATAAATATCCTTGTTTGGGTTTAAAAGTATAATTTATTTAAAATAAGATAAAGGGTAATAAAATTATAAAAATATAACAAGTTAATAATTATTTACACAATGCAAAATTGTATAATCTTATGTTCAATATAGGGTTAAATACTTTTTAGGTTTAATTTACAAGTGATAAATACTGTACATTTAGATTACACAATAAATTTAATAAAAATATCTGAAATAAAAACCTCAAAACATACCAGGTATATAAAACTACTGAATACCTAATAATTCTTTTAAAAGTGGTTGCGATATGTTGGTGGCGCCTATATCTAGAAAGTTATCCCGGTGATTCTGTGTCAAGGCATGTAAATCCTTAAAACTGCCTAAAAGTTTGTATATTTTATTCTGTGATTCCGATTCCGTGCGATATTTTAACAGTAGATAGCGTTGCAGTAAATACGTGTATACGTGTTGTTGCAGTCTATGAGTTAATTATATAAATTATACGGTATATAAATAATGTTGGTAATAAGTTATGAAATTTTATTTAATACTTTCAACTTACTTAACATAGTGTGCATCAATGAGATCTGGATGATTTGGGTTAAATACTATTATCGCTGTTAACTAAAACAAAATATGAATTTTTAAAATTTATTTTTAACATATTAAACATATTTAATTTATAATAAAATTATTACCAGGTTTAAGATGATTGGATCGGAATCCCATTCTCGGC